CAAGTAAAATAAAGCTAGCTAAAGAATAACATTGGAGGCTGGGTGCAGTGGCTCATGCCTATAGTCCCTGCACTATGGGAGGCCTAGGTGGGAGGATTGCCTGAGGTCATGAGTTTGAGAACAGACTAGCTAATATAATGAAACCCTCTCTCTATCAAAAATACAAAAAAAAAAAAATTAGCTAGATGTGGTGGTGCATACCTTTAGTCCCAGCTACTTGGGAGGCTGAGGCAGGAGAACTGCATCAACCTGAGAGGCAGAGGTTGCAGTGAGCCAAGATCATACCACTACACTCCAGTCTGGGTGACTGAGCGAGACTCTGTTTCAAAAAGAAAAAAAGAATACCAGTGGAGCAGTGTATCTATGTGCTATCATTTTTTTGATAATTTTTTTCATATATTTGATGCTTGAAGGCACACAGTAATAAGTAGCATGCTATCAGTAAATTAAAGCTTCTTACTAAATCTAGTTAGTTCAATGTATTGTAAATATTACCTAAAGGGTTAAATATATCAAATCAAAGATTGGCATTTATTATTTGAGTAGAAGAAATTTTAGGATAGAGTCTAAGATTATAAAAAGGTGTCTTAATCATCTTTCATAAAGCACCACTATGGCAAAAAATAACTACAACATCAGATGCCTTGTATGTCCCAGCACAAATTTATGTAAGAGCAGGTAAAAAGACAATCGAATGTGTAAACCTATTAGGTGGCCATTATGGTTTGCAGGAAAAGTTCTTCAACATTCAGTATCTATTGAGTGTCCATATGTACCTGGCACAGAGCTATTGTCTAGAGACAGAGTGGTGAACAAGACAGACTTCTTCACTGACTTACTAGAAATTACATTTTAATGATGGTAAATATAATATATATTAATATATGTGCCATTTTATATTTTTATATTATATATTGATAAGTATGTGAAAAGTAGGAAATGAAACTGTCAGAGGCATTTGAACAAGAGCAGCTCCATCTTGAATAGGGGCTAGGTAAAATAAGGCTTAGACCTACTGGGCTGCATTCCCAGGAGGATGGGTATTCTAAGTCACAGGATGGGCTAGGAGGTTGGCAAAGATACAGGTCATAAAGACCTTGCTAATAAAACAGGTAACAGTAAAGAAGCCAGCTAAATCCCACCAAAACCAAAATGCCAATGGAAGTGACCTCCGGTTGTCCTCACTTCTCATTATACACTAATTAGTAGGCTAAAAGCCACTCTCTCCAGTGCCATGACAGTTTACGAATGCCAGGGCAATGTCAGAAAGTTACCCTATATGGTCTAAAAAGGGAAGGAACCCTCCGTTCTGGGAATTGCCTATCCACTTCTTGGAAAACTCATGAATAATTCACCCCTTGTTTAGTATATAATCAATAAGTAACAATACGTATGAGCAGCTGGGTGGCCCATGCTGCTGCTTTGCCTATAGAGTAGCCATTCTTTCATTCCTTTACTTTCTTAATAAACTTGCGTTTACTTTAGGGACTCGCCCCGAATTCTTTCTCATGCGAGATCCAAGAACCCACTCTTGGGGCGTGGATCAGGACCCCTTGCCAATAACAAACAAAATTAAGAGTTGTGATAAGTGCCTTGCAAGAGACAAACTGGGTGCTGTTATCTGGAGTAGGGTGGGCATATACATCCTACACAGGAGGCTATGGAACCTATCTTGAAAGGGGATATCTAACTTGGAATCAGAATTATGAAAATGGGAGTAATAAACTTTATGAATTATGTTCATTATACATTATGTTCATTTATAATTCATTACTGTAATTATGCTCAATCATGAAAGTGTGAGGAGAAAAAAAAAACTGCCAGAAAGAAAAAAAAATGCAGAAAACTGAGAAAAGTCATTAGAAGTCTGGAAATACTGCTCTCTCATTGCCACCATTTTTCTTTCCTAAGCATCAATACAGGCATATTTTTTTTCATAATTAGCAGTGACTACAGAAGGAAAAGAAAAATATTATTGTTGTTTTTAGTTCACTTACAGGAGAAATAAATGATTATGAAGTTATGACTCATTGAGCATTAGCTATGTAAGGTGGATATTATGTATAGTATTTCATTCAATCCTCGCAAATATTCTAGAGGACAAGAATTGCTATCTCAATTTTAAAATCGAGTAAACTGAGGTAGAGTCTCATAATTTGCCTGAGAGTACACAGCTGTGGAGGAGTCAGGCTTCTCCTCTGGAGCCCAGTGAGACTTGTGAGCCTGTGAATTTTAAGTACTAGGATAGAAAGCAAAATTAAGGAAAGAATTGAAATGATTATCTTCTCTGCCTTCCTTTATTCATCTGATCACGTTCCCACTGACTGTACTGAATTTTGTACTCAATTACTTAATTGCAGTATAAAAATATACATTGGCTTCTCTGATGACACTACTTTTAAATGTCATTGGCATTTTGTAGAGAAATTTGTGGGAGGAACTTCATCAGATTTCATTTAAATGCTCAAGTCACCCAGCTATCATAATGTCTTCCTCAAACAAGATTTTATTTTGTAATTCATCTCTTTCCTTTACAGAATTCTGTATTTCATCAAGATGTTTGACTTGCAGTTCCAGTTTTGATTTGATCCAGCAACTAGCATAAAAGGTGAAAGATGATAACAAAACTTATAATTATTTCAGTTATGCTTGAAAACATGTATAGGCATGTTTAAATATAAAAATATGCTTAAAAAAGCTTTTTATTTCCAGTGGATAAACCTACTTTTAAAAGGCAAACATATGCAAAATAGTTTATTTTAGACATCTATTTATAAGGGAAATATCCATGAGAATAAAAATCCAGAATACATTATTTGATTTGTCAAACAATGATAGAATAGATTCTGCAGAATTTTGTACTTAATTGTATCATCTACTACCAATGGGCTTATAAATGAATCAATGTACTTATACCACAGCTATATGTAATTATCCCAAGGTCTGATTAATGTCCTTAGATCTAGTGAGGTTGGAGAAAAAAAGAGAAAGATGAATAAAGATTTACCTGCTTTATTTTAAATACATCAGGCCAGGATTTTCCTATGAACAGTTTTACCTGGTCACCACCATCTCTCCAGTGACATATAATGTCATGAAAACTCTTATTTGTCTTTTCTAGTGAACAATCACTAGTTCTTATCTCACAGGATATTTTAAAGTCTGCATGTCTCATTTTTGCTTTCCAATGCCTTACCAATTTTCATGGCATTGCCACAAAACAATGGCTTTACACTGGTAGGGCAATGCACCCTCATTTAAAAATGTCAGACGTCTCACAGGCTATGCACCCTCATTTAAAAATGTCAGATTTCTCACATGGTTTGGAAAAGTTCCCAACGGTTTCCACACAAACAATCTGGTGTTTTTCACAAATATGAGTAGAGAAGCAAGTTGATATGCCATCAAATGATCATCCCTTTGCCCTCCTAGCATAAATCTCATATGCTGTAAGAAATAAGTAAAAATTAATGACTAAATTATTCACATCTTTGCTTTGCTTTCTTCTTATTGTTCAATTCTCAGCTTAAATGTCACCTCAGAAAGTTCTTCCTTGTCTGCTAATCTAATGCTGCCCCCCCATTTTTTCCCCTTTTAAATTCCTGCTTTCTTGTAAACAAAATACTTATCAATAATATCTTTTGTTTAGTTGTTTGCTCACTTTTATCTAGTTCCACTAAAAGAATGTAAGCCCCATCAGGGCAGAAACTTATATTTCACTAATGTATCCCCACTACCTGGCAAAGTGCTTAGTGTATAACTGGTACACAGTAAGTGTTTGTTGAATAATAAATGAGTGGGTGAACCAGTGAGCGAGAGTATGACTATCTGGAAAATATATATGTAAATGCATTCATTCATCCAATAAATTCCCTACCACTAGTCATTGTTAAATATTCATTTTAATCATAAATATTATGATAAAAGAGGGAAAGAATGCCTTTATATTAATTGTTCTCAACTGGGGTGGAGGAGAGGGATTTTTTTCTACATGGATGTTTTATTTGATCTGGATACATTTTTGGTTGTTACAATTGGGAGAATAATACTGGTATGTACTGAGAGGCCAGGGATGATGGTGCTAAGCATCCAATGTCTGTACCCACAGGGTAGATCCCCACAAAATGAATGATCAAACCCCAAATTTCAGTAATGCTAATACTTTACACTAGAGTCTGTATTTCTCATATGAAATTAAATTAACATGTACTTATTAGATAGCTATCATATGCTAACATGAAGTTGAATTCCTTGAAGAAAAAGATACGTTAGACAAACAAACAAACAGATAGATGAATAGATGGTTGGTTGGCTAGACTAATGAATAGAAGGATGGATGAATAGATACATGTGTACATAAATAAAAAGACAGTAGTCACAACATTCTATGTAGGACTAAAATAAACAATGTGTGATTACTAATCTCAGGAAATGTATATTCTTGCTATTATCTAATCATGTCTCCATAGAATTCATTCTATTTAATAGCAAAATGTTGGATCACATTAAAAGATACATGCAAACATTAGGGGAAGACTGTAGGCTAATTTTTTGCAATGAATGCTGATAATATTTGTGTAGAGAATGGCTATGAGGAGAAAGCGATCATCAGGTTTTAATTATGTACCCCATGAAGCAAACATAATAATATCTTTTTCAAATGAGAAGTTTGTGTTTCTTTCCCATAAATGAGGATTCCTGTGTCAAGTGAGAGATATATTAACCATGTGAATGTAGTGGTTCTACATATGATGAGGCAGAAAACTGGAATCCAAGGAAACAATCTGAGCAGGAGCTGTTAGAAAACCACCAGAAGCCCCCAAAGCAGGGCTTTTACTTGGATCACCAGACACAAAAGAAAAGTATTTTGTTTTCGTAGAGAGGTGCTGCATTTTATATAGCATAGTCCAGAAGTTGCAAAGGGAGGATTTATATAGAGAGAAAGAGTAACTTCCCCCAAGCCTTCCTCATTTCTGTTGCAGTATGAAAGGATCCAGAGTGCTTGCTTTGGTGATGCATCTAAAATTGAAATGATACAGAGAAGGTTACTTTGGTCCTTGTGCAAAGATGATATGCAAATTTATGAAGCCATTCACATTTTTTAGTTGGATGACATATTCAATGTGCTGAATGAAAAAGACAGTCAACCAGTTACAACCAGTTAACCAAGAATTCTATATACAGCAAATCTATTCTTTGAAAATTACAAATATAAAAAAAAGACATTTTTGGATAAACAGAAACTGTGATAATTTCTTGCTGGCAGTTTTGCCCTGCAAAAAATGTTAAGGAGCCTTCAAGCTGAAATCAGAGAACACTAGATGTCAACCTGAATCTATACAAATAAATAAAAAACACTAGTAAAGGAAATTACAAAAAAAGTTAAAATATTTTTGGAACTCTTTTCTATTATCTGATTAAAAGACAATTATATAAATCAATGATTATAATACCACATTATGGGCTTACAACGTATAAAAGTATAATCTGTATGATAAAAACAGCCAAGGAGGAAGGAAACAACAGGTACATATTAGAACAAAGTTTCTGTATACTATTAAATTAAGTTAGCTTTCATCTCATCTAGATTATTTTAGTAAAATGCTAATTGTATTCCCTAGAACAGCCACTAAGAAAATAGTTCTAAAGATACAATAAAAGAAACAAGGAAATAAAATGACACGTCAGAAAATATTTATTTAACACAAAAGAAGGTGGATATGAAGGAATAAAAAAACAAAGACATAGACATATAGAAAAAAATAGCAAAATGCCAGACATCAATTCTATCTTATCAGTAATTATGTTAGACATTATCCTGTCAATTCTCTTGATATATTTTGTTAGAAAATTATATAAATACCATCCATGACATCCTATCTAAAAGAGATAAACTATAGTTTCAAAGATATTTACAGAGCAAAAGCAAAAAAAAAAAAAAAAAAAGAAAAAGAAAGAAAAGCAAAAAGATATAGGCTAGGCACAATGGCTCACACCTGTAATCCCAGGTGTGAGGGAGGCCAAGGAAGTTGGGTCATTTGAGGTCAGGAGTTCATGACCAGCCTGACCAACATGATAAAACTCCATCTCTACTAAAAATACAAAAATTAGCTGGGTGTGGTGTCATGTTCCTGTAGTCCTAGCTATTTGGGAGGCTGAGACATGAGAATTGCTTGAACCCAACAGGCAGAAGTTGCAGTGAGCTGAGATTGTGCCACTGCACTCCAGCCTGGGTGACAGAGTAAGACTTTGTCTCCAAAAAAAAAAAAAAAGATATTAATTGGAAAAATAAACAAAACAACGCTGGGGTAGTTATATTAACATTAGGCAAAATAGACTTTAAGACAGATGAGTCATCAACAAGAGAAGATTTCTGGGCTCTTTGCAGTCCAGGAGAACCAACCTGACCACAACTTTACCAATGGCAGATCACAGTGCTGAAGGCAAGTAAAACAAGATAGCACTGTACCCAAGCACTTGAATGTGAGGCTCCTTTTTATTGTACTCCTGGAGTTATGTAAATTCTCAAGCTTTTAGGCAAATGTGTGAGTAGTAGTAGTAGAAGAAGGGATAACTATTACATGCTGTGCAATTACTAAAGAGACTAAGTTACTTCGAGCAATTACAGGGCTTATCAACCTGAGTGCCCTTGAAATTTCCAACTGAATAATTCCTCATTGTGGGGAAGATACACTGGGTGTTGTAGGAGAATTTAGCGGAATCACTGGTTTCTACTCATGAGAAGGCAATAGTAGAAGTCATTACTTGGAAAAAATGTATCTAGATGTTGCCAGATGTCCCCTGTTAGGTAGAGAATGGGTTAGAGAATGTAATATCATTAATTAGGAATCATGTAACAGACAGTTGTAGTATGTGTTTGTATATGTGTGTGTGCCTGTGTATCTGTGTGTCTGGTGCATGTGTCTATGTGTTTGGGAAAAGATACTTACTATTAGTTAACTTCTAAAACCAGAGAGGAAAGTTACTTCCATTCTATTACCCATTAAAGAAGAGTAGTGATTAAACATACAACCCACCCAACCAACCAGCATTTTCCTATTTCATCTCTACCCTTCACTGAGTCCTTCTCAGAGAAAAAGGTATTTAGCTGGTGGTAGTAAAGGTGATAATTTGTAATGGTGGACATTCGTGAGTCCTACATCTTGTGACCATTCTTGAATATCTCTCTTTAAACAGTTTCAGGTTTTCTCAGGGCCTGCTTGATGTAGTAAAATTACTGGAAGCAGTTCTGAATTCAGATTTACCAGTAATAAAATTGTTTCAGCACTTTAATTCTTATCTAAATTATTTTGTGGATCCTCAGTTTGCTGTCAGTAATAAAATAATTTACTACAAATCATATTATTTTCTATTAACAAGACTGATTTTCAATTTTCTTGACATATTTTATTTAGAAAATGGTATAGATACCATCCATGACAGTGCCACAGTCTCCTGAAAAATCCTTGCAAATTCCCTCATTCTTTTAGGTACAAAATTCCTATCACTGTAGCTGGCATTAAAAAATAAATGCCTATAGTCTATTAAGAACATTTTAAATATAAATTTTAGCTTTAAATTTTATTTTGATTCTGACCTAGCAAAGATATTACATGACACTTTACGTGAAGATTCATGCTTCCAAAATACTTACCTTTACACATCTATTTTTATTTCTTTTCATTTTCTTTTTGGCTTTCTTTTTGGATAATAGAAACCTGATTTTAGGCCAACATAACCACAATCAGCAGTTAAAAAATATTCAATGTGAAAAAAAGATCTACATTTTCATACAGTGGTTTTATACCAAGGACGAAAAAAATAAATGCTTTTCAAGTGAAGGCATTATCACATTTTCAAGTGACTTCTCAAGTGCAATTTTATCCCTTGGCTCAGCATTTCAGTTTTACAGCATCTATTAATCAAGTCTAAGCAGCTTGTAAGTCCCCAATCCCTAGTTCAGATTACCTCACAATCACCACGCACTTCTGTCATTGTCTCTGGTACTGTCTTCCCTTGCCTCCATTGTTTCAGTTCAGCGTTTTGCTCTACTCCTTCAATCATCCCAACTCTACTATCCTTTGAGAACAGCAGCCATCAATTTCCAAAACCACAGAACAAGGACTAATGTTTATACTTTCAAAGGAGATTCAGTGAATAAAAAAGACCATTTAAGAAATGCCAGGAAAAATTGATTACTCCAGAATTCAGAGCAACCAGTCCAAATTGTAGAAGAACAACACTGTTTGTTCCCTAGACTCGGTAGTGAGAAAAAGGAAAAAGACTACTAAATTTATCTTTGTTCTTTGCTGCATATGAATTTTAAAACTCACAGAATCTAAGTATCATTTACCTTAAGACAAAGAAGAAAAGAGACTGGCTATAGAAAACAGCATCCCTGCCATTAAAATAAACATTTTAAGAAGCTTAAGTCTATGTCAAAGACATATAAGGAGATAAAAAAAAAAAAGAAAAAGAAAAAGAAAAAAGAAAAGTGATGCAAGGAACCAGATACTTTACTGAGAAATCATTTGATCAAACAACTTACTATTTCACTGAGGTAGAAAGCCATTAGCCATATATAAATGGTGGGCTATATTTTTCTGTCTTCATCCTTGAAAGCAACTGCTAAATTGCAGCTTTAAGAATTCAAGTCTAAATCCCATTAATCTATTTTTCACAAATACTGAATATTTAGCATCATTCTGAATATTGTTTTTCTGTGGGTCCCTTTTTTGTGTGTCCTCATTAGAGTACTAAGATCTGAGCAAGAGAAATATAGGTGAGAGGAAGCTCAAGATTGCTTGAAGCCATTTGAAAGGCAAGGGCAAACTCACATCAGAAACCCATGCTTCCTGGATTTTTCTTCCACAATCTGGTTCAAAATGTCATTTTTTACTCTACATCTAGGTTTGACAGAGTTCAGAAACTAAAACATTGCTTCCTGTGTGAGATTTGCAGACTGCCATTCAGAAATTCATAAAACACCACCTTTATTGAATAGCAGTGTGAAACTTCTACAAGGACACTGTCTATTCATTATGTCCAGTATCCCAAATCCACCATTATGCTTCTTGAAAGGGACAGTAAATTGCTTCCAATTTATCCTCATCCTTTTTATGGATAATGCAAAGAAAGTAGCACTTTGAACAGAAAAACAGGTTAATTTTATGCCAGTCATGAAACTTGGTGACAGGTGCTGCCATATGTTACAACAAGATCTCTTGGCCATGGGTCATTGCTTTGAAAGGTACTAACGAATGCTTGCAGTAGTGTGTGACATACCACTGGTCCCCTGGGATCCCATGTAAGCTCTCGTGACAAGTATGAAATTATCTCATGGTATCATAGTATTTTCCAAACATGACAGCTCCCAGATTAGTCGCCACTTAGCACAATGGGGATTGTGGGGAGATCTGTAACATCTAGTCAATGATCTTAGTGGGATCTCCTATGGACCACAAGGAAAACCGTCCCCAAAGAGAATGTCTAGAAAGGTTAAAAATCATAAAAGCCGGTGGTCAAATACATAGACAGCAAGCAAAATAATTCTGTTTTGGATATTCTTGTAATTTTTATTTGCTTCCTGGCCTGATTTCCATAGAGCAGATGAATAAAGTATTCAGTATTATATTTTGAAGTGCTCTTTATTTCCTTCTTGAACTGGAACAAAGTTTCAGTCATGAGTTGAGGAAGTACTGGGCACCCACACTTCCTTCCAACTGACATGCACAAGCACACACACTCCACATTCCTGCCTAGTAAAATAAAATACAAATGCCTAAATGCTAACTACGTTTTATGTTTCTGTTACATGCACAGATGTAAAATCTGTGAAATGTAACCGTAAAACTTCTTGTTAGGGAAAAGAAAAATGTTAAAAGAGCAAAGTAAAACTTTTACATCATATAATAAAGGAATGTGTCACTGGCTAACTTTCCTGATTTCTGGGTTGATTCTCTTTCCAATAACAATTCTAAATGTCATGCCAAAGATAGGGAAAAGGCAAAATAAACAAACGTTAACACTTAGAAATAAAGTTACATAAATATTTATTTTCCTTGAATTCCTGATATAAAAATGGCCTGTAAGTTCTGAATGC